AAATTGCGATATGCTCTTCTAGAGTCTGCTGCAGCGCCCGACATGAAGACATACTCATTCCATTATTTATATATATATATATGCAGACAGTTCCCTGCTTTTCGTCGCTTGGGTGGGATCTGCAGCTGTACGAAAGCCGAGATGACTGCCTGTGACAGAGCGGAGGGCCAAATGGCTGCAGCCGGCCGTTCCAAATTGCATACGGGCACCTCGGAAAACTGACAGCTCCCCAGAGAACCCAATACCCCTTCCTTCAGAAATATACCTTAAATTATAGGGGCCTTATTATTATGGCTTAAGGTATATTCCTTAATTAAGGGGTACTGGGTTCTCTGGGTCCAGCGCGCGAAGCATAAAGCCCTGCGCCTCAAGCACTGCACCCCCAGACCGCCCTCTCGCTGCAACAACTCGAAATCTCAACCCCAAAGCCAAAACCAACGACCCTTACCCCCAAGCCCCAGGGTTTAAACCATCACAACTTGTGAACACTCACAGCCCCATCAGACCACACTTCCAGGCCCAAACTAATCTTGCAAACGGCAAGGTTCCACAAACCAAACAACAATCAGGCCCTAAATCCCTATGAGCCCTAAACCCGAACAGGATAAACAGCTTAGTTAGGGCCGTAAGCAATAATGAGTAAATTAGAAGTATGATGAACTTGCCTCGAACATTTACAACTAGTTACAAGTATCATTACGCACCTTGCTTTATAACGCTAGTTGCCAAGTCTAAGTTCCACGACCCTCTGAGTGGTCGGAAGCTTCGGGTCCTGGCCTTCTCTTGATTTGAAAGGGTAGGGTTGAGGGCTCACGGTTTAGGGTTTAGGGTTAGGGCTTTAGGGTCCAGGGTTTAGGGGTTTATTTATGGTTTAGGGTTTAGGCTTTAGGGTTAGGGGTTTAGGGGTTTAAGGGTTTAGGGTTTAGGGTTTAGGGTTCAGGGTTTAGAAAGCCTCAGGCTTTCTTAAGGTTTAAACTGCTTGCTGCTTGCTAAGGATCAGTCGCAAGCCATGTTTCAGAGGATCCGAAGAGGAGCAGTAGTCGGGGCATGACTTCTTGGCCCTGCCGTCATGGACCTTACAGCCCCTCAAAACCCCAAACCCCCTAAACGCCAGCCCAAATCCCTATGTGATGTAACTCCCCCAAAACTCCAACCCCAAGTTTAAATCCAGAAAACCCGAAACTCCAAACCCACATCCCACAATCCCAAGCTCCAAACCCACATCCCAAACCCCCAATCCCCAAAACCCACATCCCCAAATCCCCGAAACCCTTCCTAAACCCTAAACCCTAAACCCGAAACACTTCCTAAACCCTAAACCCTAAACCCTTCCTAAACCCTAAACCCTAAACCCCTAAACCCTAATTAAACCCTAAACCCTACACCGTAAACCCGAAACCCTAAACCCAAAGCCCCTAAAGCTCCCCCGGCCTGCATTTGGGCATGGAGCGACGGCTCGCCTCTCTGCTCCCCCTATCCGCGCCGGCCCGGGCTTGAAGAGAACCGCTGCAGCTCTGAAGTTTGGGGTTTAGGGCTAAGGGCTTAGGGCTTAGGTTTTAGGGCTTAGGGTTTAGGGGTTTAGGTGTTTAGGGTAGGGGTTTAGAGCTTAGGGTTGAGGGTTTAGGGTTTAGGGGTTTGGTTTACGCGTATAGCACAACCCACCGCTCCCCCACACTAGGATAATCCAGCTTGAGATTTCAACCGTTGTTCAAAACCTATGCTCCGCTGAAAAGCACCCAGTACGCAGTTTCCATCTTAAGATTTCGACCCGAATACAAGGATGGCAATCACTAATCGCAATCCAAGTTACCGTCCTAAGAATAAGCCTTACAACCATCTGGGGGGGGCTCCTTGTAAAAATGGGTTTAGGGTTTGGGGATACTAAGCAAATTTAACATACAAATGCAAAGGTGTTTATGTGCTTATGTACTATACTTACAGTATTCCTACGTAGGCCGCTGCGAAACATTAAGACGAATGTTTGACACATCTTCCTTCAAGCCGTTAAGTGTGACTTGGTTCATGTGGTTCTTCATCGTTCTGACGACACCAGATACATATAAAAACAAAAAGTTGAAGTTGTCTACGTGATTCACGAGCTCACAGCCACTACATTCTTGGAGCTCGTTACCAATTATGCCTAACAAAAATGTTGCTGTTTCTGTCAACGTCTGGAAAAAGCAGCTCCAAAGGACAAGATGTTGTCATTGGTTCTTGACAGACGTATCTGCGCATCGGAACAATTTAAAGTGTATTTAAAGCCTGTGTGTAGAAATACTTGCTGACGCAGCGATCGCTTCAAAACAATTTATAATTATATATTGGACTTCCTTACACCGGTAACGTTCTCTCACGTGACTATCATTTGGTTCACTATATGCATCGAAATCAGCATGAAGATCAGCCACTCTCTTTGTGCTTGTTGCGTTTACCGGTAATATTAATATATATATATATAGATGTATATAATCTAATGTAAGGTCTTTTCATGCTTTCTGGACAGGGTGCTCTCACTCTTACGTGTCTGGGCAGGGTCAAAATACAGCTGTCAAATTACAACAGAACCTTGTGTTGTTATACTAACCCATCGCATTGTCAGCATCGGATTGAGGCCTGTCTATCCGTTATTCACATTCCTCGGGTGTTACCTCTGTCTGACCGCATCCCGTGTCACAGATCTCAACCGATCCTGTTTCATCCGTTTCAGTTTCCTCAAAGAAACCATCGTCCGGAGTGCTTCCACGGCCAGCCTTCCAACTACTCCTATCTTCAAAGACTGTTTTACCTTCGTTGTGCATCTTAGCTTCTTTATGAAAGTTGTTCTCTACATTTGCTAGGTCAGCAACCTCATGGAAGCTTCGATTGATTCTTTTCGATTCTCAAGGAACCAGCTTTCCTACAGTATGTTAATGTTCCATAGGCCGAGCACCATCTACTATAGGAGCCTCTGTACTATTTTGGGGCTCCGAATCTTTTAAATACACTGCTAAGTTTAAAAGAGCCCAAAACCCTATTCTACATATTATTCATGAGTGCCGTAATCTACAAGGGTTATCTGGCAGGGTCAGGGGGTTTAGAGCTCAGGCTTTACAGTTTGGCATTTAGGGTTTCGGGAGCTTAGGGGGGTCTAGGGTTTCATGCTTAATTATTTGGGTTTGGGGCTGTTGGTCTTGAGTTACTTATTGGTGCTAGGGGGTCCTAAACCCTAAACTGAAATGCTCCGAACCGTGCCTCTGATTACAAAACGACCGCTTCGTTTTGTCGACTGGCGCCTTTTGCTGCGATGCAAGGTCCATCTTCGATTGGATACCAAGCTTTCGTGAGCAGCCTTTTCCCCCCCCCAAAGCCCTGATTGTGGCTCCTCTCTCAACTTGCGGTCATCTTTGCTCGGCAAGAAGAGCTCCTCTCTCAACTTCTCGTCATCTGTGGAGAGAGTTGTCAGCAGGTCTTCCTTGAGGCTTCTCCCATCTTCGCTCAGGGGATGATGCCGTTTGGGCCCTGCTGCCCAAGGCTCTTGGAACCCAAGAAGAGCTCAGCCTGAAGATAGGGCTTAGGGGTTATATAGGGGTTTCGCGTTTATAGGTTAAGAACTACTGCAAGATGGACATGCCAATTTGACCCTGGGCCTTTTCATTTAAGCTATGTCCGAGTTTTCGACCTCAAGCGTCAAGCTTATGGCGGAAATCAGCCAAAGTGCGACCTATGCTCACTGGTCTACTCAGCATTAACATGGCCAGTGGCTGTTGAATGGGGCGCCGCGTCTCTGATCTTCTGCTCACCGATGCCCAAGGATCGATTTAATGAAGCCTCGACAGCTGAGCTCTTTCAGATGGTGATAGACAGTTCAAGGTTCCAGACACTCGGCTTGCACCTTTGAGATTTCGCTTGCTATGAAGACATGATAGTTCAAGGTTTAGTGAGGTCAGACTGCAAACAACAAAGCTAGCTACCCATCCGTAGTGGCCATAACAAATATGGGATGTCTAACCGGGTCCATGGTGTAAAGACTCCAAAAAAAATACGACCGGGTTGAGGGTCTCTCCGCTTGGTGAAGTTCGACGCCCCGACAGGGCAAAACCCCACCTGAAACCACACTCCAGGCTGCGAGGCCTCGTGGCTGGAGGAGAGTTCGGATCAGCCTCGAAACACCCGCCACTGCAGCGCACGTGCCCTTATGCCTGCCCTGTTCCATTCCGCTATGCCTACGAAAGCTTTTCGGACATGCCCCGCCTGCGTATCCAGTTCCAGCGGGGCTCAGCCACTCCCTGCGTGGCTGCAGCTTGAAACCACGCCTTCGCGCGGTGGGAGTTGGGATTGGGGGTGTTGGGTACTTCTGCTTCCACATCACTGCAGGGCACCGGATAAAAGTTGTCGGGGATCGGGGTCCTGGCAGGTCGTTCCAGCAGAAGCTTCAAAACACAGCTTGCGGTAGCCATCACCGAAAATCTCATGTGCAAGCACTCATATGGAAACTAGAGTAAACACACAAGCTTGCGAAGCCTAAAGCAAGCTTCAGGGCTTTAGCATCATAGGGCCGAGGAAGCTTAGGGTGCTGGGCTGTAGGATTGAGAGGGCTCAAGATTACCCCAAGCCCTTCCCGCTCTCTGCACGCCCCAAAAACATCAATTCCTGAAGCCGGAATCACGAAACCCGAAACCCCTATGTAGTAGGATCCATATTAATATAGACCCATTTGTACAACCTTTGAAGAGCCCTACGCCTTAAGCCCGAAACCCCTAAATCCTAAACCCCAAACCCTAAGAGCGGCCCAAAGTCAGACAGACTTGTCCGAAGTCCGATGCCGATGCCCTATACCCTAAAACCCTGAACCCTAAAACCCTAAACCGTACAGCCCTAAAGCCCTAAACCCTAACCTAAACCCTAAAACCCTAAACCGGACCCTAAATACTAAACCAGAACCCTAAAACCCTGAACCGTAAAGCCCTAAGCCCTACAAACCCCCTCTGACTGAAGCGTCGGCCGCCGCGCAAGAGCCGAGCCTCGGCTGCCGAGGCGTTGGCCTCAAGGCCGCGGCCCTCCTTCGCTGCGAGGAATGAGCATTGAATACAGGGGTTTAAGGGTTATAGGGATTATAGGGTNNAAACCCCTAAACCCTGACCCCCCTAAAACCCTTAACCCGCCCTAAACCCTAGGTCCTAAGCGCTAAACCCCGACCATGGCCTTCCACTCCAATCGCAGCATTGCAGCGAGTGGAGGGTCTTCGACAACCTCGCCCTGGTCGTGAGCTTGGGGTTAGGGTTTGGGGCTTAGGGTTTGGGGTTTAGGGTTTAGAGCGGGCTAATTACATGTTTGTATATATTGAATGACTGCCGTTATTATGTAAATAATAATGGCTATGATTAGTATGCTTTATTCTTGTGATCAGTTCTATTTGCATGTGTTGATTGAGGATTATTCAGGGGACTTCATAATTGGGACTGAAATCTGAGAGTTGTGGGGTTTTAGGAGTACGGCACCTTTATAAAAAGGACCCTAGAAGGGGACCCTAATTTACACAACTACCCATGTCCACACTGCTTGTGTCAGCCCATTCCAGCTAAGGTCGGAGTCTTTGAGGGCATCAGAAAGCGGCATGAAGTTTAAGCTCTGAACCCGAAACCCTGAACCCTAAAGCCTGAACCCTAAACCCTACATTAAGCCCTAAACCCTAAACCCCCCACCTTCGAAGCCTGGAGTCGCTTCTCCTCTCTCAAAACCCTGGCGCCTCCAACACAATCGCCAGGTTGTACTGGGCCATGGCGTGGCCTTGGTTTTGGGTTTTGGGTTCTTAGGGCTCTTGGGGTTCTTGGGGCTCTTAGGGCTCTTAGGGTTCTTAGGGTTCTTAGGGTTCTTAGGGTTCTTAGGGCTCTTAGGGTTCTTAGGGTTCTTAGGGCTCTTAGGGTTTAGGGTGCAGGGTTTGCAGGGTTTAGGGTTCTTAGGGGTTTATGGGTTTAGCGGTTTTAAACGGCTTTAAGGGCTTAGGAATTTCGCGAGCTCAGGGGCTTTCTCTATGAGTGTTGATGGCTTGCGGTTGCGCAATAGTCCAGAGACCAATGCCAGGATACATGGGACCTTCCGAAAATAGGAGGAGGGGGTACCTTATTTTGGGGTCCTTATAATAAGGATCCTACCATTTAGGGTACTATATTAGGGTCCCCTATTTTCGGAAACCCCCACATCGTGACTGTGATTCCTCCCCGGACCCCTCCATGTCGAGGTAGCCGCACAGCACTCCTTAACCATGTTGGATGTACTTCAGACGGACCCAACTTCCGATCAACACCTAAAGCCCCAAGGATGTGAGACCCAGAGAACCCAACATACCTGAATTAAGGGATATACCTTAAACTATAGGGGCCTTACTACTATGACTTAAGGCATATTCCTTAAATTAAGGGGTATGGGGTTCTCTGGGGAGGTCTGAGGATCTCAAGCTCTGAACCAAAGACCCGGATGGCCCATGCGAACCGACACAGCTGACGCCAACCTTCCGTTTGAAGAACACCTAGGTAGTTCTCTAAATTAGGGGTCCCTTTTTAGGTCCCAAATATAGGGACCCAAGTTTAGAGAACTACCCACATACAGTAGGCCGGCCCCGGAAGTTTTAGAACAGCCCGAACGAGAAAAACTAACCCAGACTTTGAAGTCGAAAAGCCGTGAGAGTCTGAACCGCTCCGGGGTTCGAAGCTTGCCGGTCGGGGCCACGAAGAAGAGGTTTGAGGACTTGCATAGTCCATTGGGGTTTAGTGTAGGTTTCCCCGAACAATCCTACAATAAACCCTATAAACCCTACATCCTAAACCCTAAACCCAAATCCTACAAAACCCTACACCCTAAATCCTTGCTCCAAGCACAATCGGATGGAGTGCCTCGCTCTGCAGCTTTCTGGAACCACTCCGCAGCTGCCGAGTCGTTCTTTGGCAGGCCTTGGCCCATGGCCTGGAAGCGGCTGCATTTCCAGGGGGAGCTCCCTGAGGCGTTGGGCTCTGATTTAGGGTTTAGGGTTTTAGGGTTTAGGGTTTAGGGGCTTAGAGGTCTCAGGCTTTAGGGGTTTCGGTGTTCGCACTCGGACAAGCCAGGCGAGGCTCTTGGTGCATAGTCGGACGAGGTGCAGGGTTTAGGGTTTTGGGGTTGGGGTTTTGGGTCACTCTAGCTATGGGAATACAAACCAACTTGCGCCGGAAAGGCTGCAACACCTTGCGGCCCCACTGTACATTCTAATCTAGATAAGGCCGCCGCACTTTAGCTTCAACTGCAAAGTCTAGGTGTTTAGGAGAAGACAGTACTTCAGGTGCTTCGACAAAGGGTAACCCGTTACACCCTAAATTCCCTAAGCTCGAGACCTTAACCCCTGTAACCCTTGCACTCTAAAGCCCTACTCAAGCATACTCCAGCTTGGTCACCAGTGCGACGCCGAGGAGGAACTGTGCCTCCTGTGCCACAGACTTCGCGGAAGAAGCCTCAACCCAACTCCGGGTTCCATCAACAACCTCAAACCTACCACAACCTCGTCCTTTTTCGGCTATGAGTTTGAATGCTAAGCTGATCAACCCGAATGTAGAGTTGCAAGGGGCTTTCCTATCGGTCTCTGCCAAACGGCCGCCTGCGGCTGACAACCCCAACCGCGCCGCCGTCCAAACGCAACCAACATCTGACACTAATTTAAGAATTTGGGCTTTACATAAATCCCAATACTCAAGGACAAATGCAATCTTCGGTCCGGCACTGAAGTGGAAAGTCCGACCCAGCCAGTCCTGAACCCTAGCTCCCGCTTGCGATCCTCATGATCCTGATCTGCGGCCCTCTGCAACCACTCGGCGGCAAACTCGTTGCCAGTAGCCACCGCGAGGTCCTTGCTTGGCTAGTCAACCCTAAACCCTAAACCCGAGTCTGTTTGACGGTTCAAACCGGTTTCGAGGGGTTCAAGCTTACTTCGCCCCGGCCTTGCTCGAAGCCGTCAGAGGCTCCTTCTGGCCCCTCCGAGAACCTCTTCCCTCCTCTTCGTACCCTCCCCCCTCCCCCCCACTCTCCTCCCTCCGCAGCCCGCATTCTCACCGTGCCCTGATGTAAAGACTACTCTTCACCTGCGACCCGGCCCAGGCGGACGACAGCAGGCGCTTGCAACTAAGGCTTACGGATTTGGGGGCCGGAGATGGCTGGGGCCTACTGCTTCTCACAACTGTCAACATCGAGGACAAAGGTCACCTCTCAGCCACGTCGAAGAGCTCATGGCTATTACGGGTATCCGGTCCATGATCATGAGCAAAAAGGCCACGACAGACCCATACAAGGCCCAGTTCGACGCAGGCCAGGTTGTTGGCATATCAGATGAAGACCAAGTAGCACGCTGGCAATCACAAAGCAATTTCGCATTGAAGTACTATACACGTCCAGATTAGGCCCCGTGTAATTTTGGAAACTCCCAAATGGACTTACAGGACCAATTAAATACAGTCCCGTGCGCTGTGCACCCCATCCCTGCGCTGAAACGTTGATCAAACCCTTCGCAACTGAGTACCTGAATCTACTGCGCGGCAGTTAAAGAGTGGTGTGGCCCATGCTTGCTGAACCACCGCCACCCACGCTCGAGACTAAACAAAACCTACCCCCCATCCCTCCAGGTACGTACTATAGAGGGTCCTAGAGCCCCTAGGGCCCTATATAGAAGGTACCTCGAAGGTTAGGGTACTCTCCTGGAAGCCCCGAAGCCCCAACCTGGATCCCGGCACCCAAGAGCCCAAAGTCCTCCAACAGCTCTCTTCCCAGCGTGTACTGGGCCTTGGCAGATCCCGCGTCGGCGGCCACTTGCAGCCAAAAGAAAGCCGAAGCCTGATCCTTGGCTTTGTTTGCTTCTGCTTGTGGTTTAGAGGTAGGCTGTTTCCGGTCTAGGGTTTGCTTACTTCTGCTTGTGGTTTAGAATTCGGCTGTTTCCGGGCTATGGTTTGCTTGCTTGTGTTTTGTGGCTTAGAATTCAGGGGTTTACGGGTTAGGGGTCTCGTGTAAGTTTGGGGTTTGGCTTTGCTTGGCTTTGTGGTGTGCAAGGGGCTGGCGGGAGCTTAGGATGCAGGGCTTTCTAGGCTTCTTTGTTGGTTGAGGGGGGCGGGGCGGTCCTTGGCTACCGGGAACGAAGCCCACACCGGGCTTCATGGGCCTTGGTAGTGCACTTCTGGCTAATGCTCCTCATCCTGATCCTCATCCTACGACGGCGACTAACACCCTTATCAGTATGACTACTGGCACCGCCACCTTTCTTCATTGGATCCTAGGATCCCGTTGCTACCCTACCTTTGCCTTAAGATCCCCACTCAACCCTTTACCCTGAAGCTTAAACTGGGAAGCCCCACCCCAGACCCTCAAACCCCTAAGCCCGTAGTCGCTCAGCCCCGAAGCGCTATGTCGTACCCGAAGCCCTAAGTCGTAGTCCCTTAGCTGCACGAGGCTCCATTGGACCATGCTTTCCTTCCAGAAAGCACTCGGCGAGCTGAAAGAAGGTCTGAGACGTCTGCTCATGACACTTCTGTTGTTTATGGGGAGGCCTGAAGAGCGAGAATAGAGTCTGAATAGAGTATTGAAGAACACTTGTAACACTAACGACAAGAACCTTACAAACACCCTAAACCTAGAATCCAAAACGCTCCGAAATGGCCTCTGCAAAGAGCGCCGTGCGCGAGGCGCCGCTTTCCAGCGCCCGTCGAGCCCAAGTTGCGCTGCAGTTCCGGTTCACCTGGGTTTAAGAAGCCCTAAACCCTAAACTCTAAACCCCAAAACCCTAAACCCTTGTGTTTCTGACAATGTCGTTCCCTGGCTGAACTCTGTAAGCCCCGGCCACAGAGAAAACGCCCCTCCTAAACCGTCACCGTGGAAACCTTAAGAGCACCAGCCAGGTCCTCCGAGGTCTCTCCACAACTTAAGCTACGGGAACTGAAGGGCCCAGGGCAAGGGCAACATACTCTCCCTCTCTCTCGCTCTCTCTCTCGCTCTTGCTCTTTCTCTCTCTCTCTCTCTCTCTCAATCTCTCTCCCTCTCTTTCTCTCTCTCTCTCTCTCTCTCTCTCTGTCTCCCCCTCTCTCTCTCTCTCTCTCTCTCTTGCTCTCTTTCTCTCTCACTCTCTCAATGTCTCTCCCTCTCTCTTTCTCTCGCTCTACCTACCTGTTCTGTCTATGTACCGTTCGATCTATTTATCTATCTGTTTCGGGTTCCAAGGCTTGGGATATGAAAGCATGGTGGCATACTCGAAAAACTTACTGAAACAGCTGAGGTCCCTCTATGTCAGCCCTTGTGTATATGAGGGGGGTCTTCATCATCAAACGTCTCACAGCTCCGCCGCCCAATGCTCGTGTTCTACATGTACAATGGATTTTGATAGAGGTGCTGAAAGCTTTACAAATGTTGACAGCAAGCAGTAAATTGTAAATCCACGCTACCAACCCTAAAACGCCTAAAACCCTAAACCACGAACCTTAAACCCCGCACCATCCCCAGACACAAACCCAAAGCCCCATGTAACCCCAACACCCTAAACCAAAATCAGCACTCCAAACCCTCAAGTCTGAGTTTGGTACCTTGGTCAAAGGAAACTACAGGTGGGTGGGGGGTTGGTGGGTGGGGGGTTTAGGGTATATAGGGCTTCTACAAGGACTCCATAAGGTATACAGACCTTCTATAAGGCTCCTATAACGCAACTACCCGTAACTACCCACCTGAAAATGTCCTAGGCTTGAGCCCCAAGCCCTAAATCCTAAACACGCAAACCCGGTTTTGCTCAACCCTGTACCGGGTAGTTCTCCAAACTACAGCCCCTCTTATGAAAAGCACCCTAAGAGGGACTACCCCCCTGCATGAAACCTAAACCCTAAAGCCGAAACCTCTAAAACCTAAACCCCCAAAACCCTGCACCCAGGAACCCCAAATCCTACCCCTCAACCCTAAACCCAGAAAACCCTGCACCTCCATGAACTTAAACCCTAAAGCCTAAAAAAACCCTAAACCCTAAACCTTTAAAACCTAAACCCCTCAACCCTAAACCCAGAAAGCCCTGCACCTCCATGAACTTGCCATCCATGCAGAACTCGGCCAGAAGAAGCTGAGCTTTCACGCAGCCGCCAGCTGAAGCTTGCAGGTAGTAGCGGTACACGTCCTTAGGGTTTAGGGGTTTATGGTTTAGGGTTTTAGGGTTTAGGGTTCAGGGTTTGAGGGTTTAGGGCTTAGGGTTTTAGGGTTTTAGGGTTTTAAGGTTTTAAGGTTAAGGGGTTGTATTTAAGTTACCATAATGGGGATCTATAGAAAATAATATGGTTTCTTTACCATGGTAACTTAAATTTAAATCCCCTAACAAGAACCCAGCGTCCTTACTTCTCCAGCCTCCTAAGGGAACTTCAGGTTTGGGCACACGGACAAAGCCTTGGGCTTGGGTGTGTAGATGTTATTATTAGGCCCCCCATTATTATTAGGCGGCTCTAAACACTGAAGCATTCGCTTGCCGGGGGTCCGAGGCTGCTTGCTCCAGAGCTCCGTCGCTCCTGCCAAGGCTCTGTCAACAAACATATACCTCAAATTGAACCTCCTCCTCTTCCGCTGGACCCTGAAAGCCTCTCTTCCCCCCCCCCCCCGTA